CATCACTGCACCAGTCACAGCCCTGGGATTGGGTTTTTATGACAGCCATGGATTGTTTGGGTAATTGTCAAACTGGAAAGAGCCCAGGCCCCTGGAGGAAGGTGAAGGAGACGCCGAGGCGCTTCGAGACAACGAAGGGAAGACCAGACCGGTTGGAAGGGAAGACCAGACCGGTTGGAAGGGAAGACCAGACCGGTTGGAAGGGAAGACCAGACCGGTTGGAAGGGAAGACCAGACCGGTTGGTGTTTTGATGCTGAAATCAATGTTTGGTCAATGTGAAGCATGTGAAGTTCATGTGAGACTCTTTGAAGTTCATGTCGAGCCTCTTCAAGGTTGGAAATACAATTATGGAGGTTGGAAACTCTGTATCAGAGGCCGTTTTTGAGGAAAGACATCGTCAATGTGCTACAAAATGAAATAAACCCTTTGGCCCTTTGGCAAACAAAAGATTTATATTTCGGTATATGATACCCCGAGAACGGAGATGTGCAAGATTCTGGACCCATCCTGCTGCTAATGAGGTTGAACTATTTTGACAGAATGCGCACTGGGTATCCAAGTGGCGAGGCAGACTAGCTGACAAGGTGCAGATGCATTTCGTTTTTCAAGATTGTTCAACTGTGTTCAATTGTTTATTTAGCTGTTCAACCTCACTTATATACAAGTATTGTACCTCATACTACCTCCAAATTAGGAGATAGTTGGAATTCAGATGGAGGAGACAGCCTGCTCTTCCGCTCTTCCTTTTCTGATCAGAATGCCCCGAAAATACAGGGCACACACCGGTCACGCGACCGCCGCCCCGCCACAGGTGATGTTGAAGAGCCCGGAGTTGGGAACTTATCCCTACACCCTGAACTGGCGCGCCACCCCTGCGGTCCGGAAGCCCGACTTTTGCTCAAAGCCGCCCATTTGTCTCGCCTAGTCTCGTTTGTTTGGGCATTTTATATGCCTATAGCCTTCGGGTAGGGTTCCTTTACATGTTGTCTGGAGGTTGGAAAAGGCATCACAAATTCTTGTGGTAGAACATGTGCGCTTGCAACTAGAATTGTTGGCCTTTTGGGGATTGGGTGAAAAGTTAAGTTCTTTGTGCGGGTTATGCAATACTTGGAACAAAAAGCTTTGCTTCACACTCACTGATAGGCACCCGGCACCTACCTGGTCTGGCTCGATGCGATTCTTTCAACACCACGCCTAATCATATACTAGGATCCAAAGGGTGCATGATGGAGATGCCGAACCACCGGGGAGGTCAGAAGACCCTTTTCGAGCCCTATTGTAAAGAGGCCCTGGTATCGGATGGCATCAGCAAGATTCATGTAATTGCTGTAATTACTTATAAGAGCCCAGGCAGGCCCCCGCAGCAAATCCAAGTCTGAGCGACCTTGGAGTTCTTGACACGATGCTTCAAGCATCAAGGCTGCCATGTTTTTGGCCATTGATTGTACCACCAGCCATTGCACCTCAAGAACTAATTGAACCTAGAACCCCAAGAAAATGATTGATCCCAGGTCCACCTGCCAAGAGCTGACCATATTCAGCCTTTTTCGCTCCCACCGGCGCACCGTTTTCACTCCTCGCGCCAGTGGATTCGCCCCATCGACTCCCACTCCGCCAGGGCTTCGAACGGGCCTTGGTTCTGAAAGCACCGTTCGGGGCACCCGGGTCCCGTCCGGCCATCGGCGTCGGGTCGGTCGAACCGTCGGGTGGATGGGGTAGAGACCGTTGGACCTCATGAGAAGATATGAGAAGTTGTTTTTGGAGCGAAGTTGGGGTCATTGTAGGTCAAGAGAACCACAAACACATTGGTTTCTGGCTATCAAACGCAAGTGCCGCAAGGAGCTCGCTGCAATTGATTTGTACACCTCTCGCCAAGCACAAAAAGCCGGACAGAGCAGAGCAGACATTGTATGGTTTTCCAAGAACATCTATCCATTGTGCAGAGTTCTTGACCAACTTAATCAGCGAACATGCTTGGAGGACGCCACCAAATACAAATTAATTACGTCCAAGCACTACCCACCACTACCAACTCACCAGATTGCGACAGCACCTCCCAGGGTTCCATGGGTCCAGATCACCATGGAAAAATGAAGGCCAGCACTGCTTCGAGGCTTGGTGGCTCAGTGGTGGAGAACTTCAAGTTCCTCCACTATGCCAAGGAGACAGTGAAGTGCCCAACCTCCCCAACCTCGGTCCCTGTACCCCTGGGCCAAATCTTTTACGACGGACGGTGGAAGGTCACGAACCATATTGAGGCTCCAATAGGCTCCAACATCTTCAACAAAAACAACTTTTGGGAGGTTCCTTGTACAGGAAGAAACCTGGTTGCTGTTCTTGGTGTCCAAGCCTGTCTAAAGACGTCCGTCCAACCCCGATATGCTTGAGCTGGAAAACACAACACTTCGAGTGCGGACGCTCGAAAGGTTCCATGAAAGACATCAGAACCACATCAGAACCCAGACACTCCATGCCATATGTGCCTACATTGGTGTGGTTTTGGGGGGTCAATGGGGCGGCATATATTCCATACAGTATTCCATACATGGAGTGTCTGAGGAAGTTGTTTCGCCCTTTTTCTGAGACATCCAGTTTTGACCCAGGGAGATGGACAAGGACTACCATAGTTGCTCCAGGATTGGTCCAGCATCAGATTCTTGAGATACGGAGCAGGAAAGAAGTCAACACTGATTTGTGTGTCATAAAAAGTATATGTGAATTCCAGTCATGTAGAAGCCCCCAGGGTTATTCATCACGAGTCTACATCGAACAAAGTCCTATTCCGTAACTCTCCATTCTTCTGAAACTTTTCTTCCGCAACTATTTGGTACTCTTCCGCAACTACTCTTCAGAAACTATTCTTCAGAAACTATGTTGGGATCTTCAGGAACTATTTTGCGATCTTCAGAAACTATTGTGCGATCTTCAGAAACTATTCCCCGATCTTCAGAGACTATTTCGCGATCTTCAGAAAGCTAACTTTAGAAAGTATTCCTCAGAACTTTTACAATGTTGCAGCCAACTTGCATGAAGGAGCACTGGGTGGGTGGGTGGGTAGGTAGGTGGGACATTGACGTACCTTGTGACGGCTACGGTATATACATGCTTGTTTTGCGATCTGCAGCAAGTTTTTCGTGCAGGCTTGATGTTGCTCTTCGACTCTTTGTAGTTCATTAGTTTCTGAAGAACACCGTAGAGTTTCCGAAGATTAGTTGCCGAAGATTAGTTTACATTTAACAGTTTCCGAGAACACCGTAAAGTTTCCGAATAGAACTTTGACCAGTCTACATCAAGTATTCGGTTCCGTTCCATTTCTTGAAGCTGATGCTTATGCTTTCTATGGACTTGTGATGCTCGTCTCTCCAAAATGCCAAGTCTTATCCAGTGGTAGATTGGTAGAGGGCAACACGACGAACAAACAAACAGACTGGGTTGTCTAGGTTGATAGGTTGTGGACCAACCTATGTGATCCAAGTTTTATATTATAGCACTTTTTCAAGAGTAGATTTGCAATCGATGCACCGTCATTGCTCTTCAGGTACAAGGCCAAAGTGGAGGCACCACGGGCTGTCAGATATGCAGTCATGGGCAATGTAGGAGATTTAATTGTGTTTTGCATCACCTCAACCCTTTGTAGAATGAACAGAGTTTATTGAGTCTAGGATTGTTGCGGCAGATCTAAATGAATTGCCCAGCGGCCTTGATGCGAAAAGAATGCCGCAAGATGGATGTCGGTCCAAAACCTCATGATACGCCGAACCATATAGGTATAGGTATAGAGACATATCAGGTCGTCCAGACATGTCCAGATTCGTCAGGCCGGGCCGGGTCTTCGAACAGTTTCGGCCGGTTGCGCCATTTGGAATCCACTGCGATCCGACCAAGGCCACCTTCCACCGAAAATGGACCCCCTGCCTTTGGGGTGAGAAAGAGAAGTATGAATATGAATGAATGAGAAATATGAATATGAATGAAGTAGGCCAGAACCAGCTAAGGAGTCCAAGAAATGAGACCCCCAGACTACTTACAGTATATGGACCTCCACAATCAGATATGTCTTACAGGATTTCAACAGCCCTAGGCTTTTGTACTTGTCATGTCAATCAATCTGATACCCTCAGGATGTCCGGTTCACCGGTGGATCCGTCCAGAACCGAGACCGGAGGCAGCACCCGGGCAGAAAGGCCCTGGAAGCGATTTCTTCTTGGAGAGCTCAGAGGCGGAGATGGGCTGGAAAAGACATATTTTTCACCCGGAGAAAACCCCATCATGAGAATTCATGAGATCATGGGCCTCCCCCTAATTTGGGTTCAAACATCCTTTTTGCATGTTTTGTTTTTTGTTTTTTTGTAAAGAGTCGACATTAGTAACCCCCCAAACCTATTACCCGTAGTATAAATGGACCACATGCAGTATAAAACCATATATACATGCAGTATAACACCATATACATATATAGAACCTATTGAAGCTCACCAGCTCCAAGCCCCGGTGCGATTTTTGTATGAAAGAGACCTGCGAAACGCCACACGGACCTGTAGAACGTCATGAGAGCGCCACAACGGGGGATCAATGAACATGTCTGTGGCGAGTGGAGTTGAGGGGATCCCTCCCAAAATGCAGGTATAGACTCTGAAGTGAACATCAAACTGTGGCATACTTGTTTGCTTCACAATTGAGTCGTTTTTGCCATCGTTGCTGGTTTGCTGGAGTACAATGCAAACGTGATTTTACCAGCAACATCCAGCAACTTCTTCTGCTTCTGTGGTTTATCAACTTTAAACTTGCCCCCAAAAGCACTGCTCCGAGTCAAACTTACATCGAGGATGCAAGCAGCATCGATTACAGCCCCAATCAGGCAGAAGTGAGAACCCAAGTTTCATGTCTAGCCACTGACTCCACCATCCTCAAGCCATGATCATCAGATACAACCAACATCAACCAAGGAAATCTCATCTCTCAAACATATTCCGAAACCAGAGGCAGTGTTGCTCCAATCTCTTACTGGATAACCAACCCCCCGCTGTTCCGGTTCGCTCCGCTCCTCTCATGGCGGACGGTCCGGGCCGTGCGGGTCGCGGAGCCAAGCTGGGCGAGCTGCCATTAGCGCAGCTGGAAGAGCTACTGTCCAGTGCGAAGACGGGCCGCGACGAGGACGAGGAAGACGCAGTGACTCGGCGCAGTGACGAGGAAGAGGGAAAGTAGGTGCTTTCAAGAGGTGGTTAGCGGTTAGCAACCCTCGCCCTACCAAGAGGAAGTACGAACCAGCTAGTTGCTTGGTGGTAGTGGAGGCCCACTTTAACCAAAGGGGTTTGGTATGTTTCCATCTAGTGTGTGTTGCTTTTGTTGGAGGTTTTTAGAGTGTGTCCATGGATGTCCTGTGTTTGACACGTTGCCACTGGCTCATTTTTCGCTGAGAGCCTCATGTGGTATTCTCAATGTTGGCTACTGGCTACGACTGGCTATATACTGTACAAAAAAGGTGTGGAAGACCAAGAAGAGAAGATGGCTGCGGTCACTGTTTGTTCAAGCGATGCAAATTTATTCACATTCCCTGCGGACCCAACATATTCAATCACTTAAAACAACATGACAACATATGACAACCTTTCTGTGGTGGATTATAGAAGTCTCAAAGATACCAATAGAATCCAATATTCATCGGCTCAAAACTCGACAACTTCATCCCCTGCTCGGCTTCTGGGGTGTCTCTCCACCACCTCACCTTGCGGTGCTCCCGCAGGAGCCGAGCGCTGCACGGACGCCGAAGCCGCGGACGCCGAAGCAGCGCCAGGGAACGAGGACGAAGCGGCCGGCCTCGCCAGGGTCCACTGCGAGGAAGAAGAGCAGCAAGATGGAGGATGAGGAGTTGTCACTGGAGAAGAGCCGATCAGTTTGGGGAAGAGTCTGAAATATACCACACCTAATGGCGTAAAATAGCAATAGGATCGGGCAAATGGAGTGGAGTAGTTGTGTTGGTTGCCTTTTGTCGTTTACCAGCGATAAAGAAGCAAAGCTAGCTGTGCTCTCTCGAGCTTTCCAAATTGTGAAGATGTGAAAACAACTGTATGAGAGAATTGTGTATAGATTGTGCTGCACAATCATACACAATCTGGACGTCAGACCTGCTGTGATGCACCATCTGCTTTTGAGACAAACCTCATCACAAGTCTGTCCGAACCAGTCGTACCAAACCTCAGCTTCGGTACGGCTAGGAACTGCCGTCCAGGCCGTTAACGGCCCCGCTGTCGAACCACCACAGAGAACTCTCCGACGGCCTCGGTTATGAGGGGTTTATATGAAATCGACTCGATAGATGGCCAGTGGTTTGGTGTTTTTTCCCTCTGAGTTTTTTTACTTTTTTAAATACTGTAATTTTCTAAGCCTCAAACATGTCCTCCAATCTTATGAACCCCAAGAGCAAGGAAACTGCCCTCCTTTGAGCTTGTGACTCGCTTGTGACTTGGAGGAGATCATATCCCCACCAGGTCCGAGGATTTTGCCCAACCCTCACTGCCGCGTGATGGAACCCACCGAGTCATTCCATCTAGGTATGTTTGTCTCCCATCAAGCCGTCGTAGCAGTGGAGACAACAGCGCTGAGCTACGCATGGCTACGCATGGCTAACCCTCCACTCCAAACGCTTCCTGGAAGTGGATAGCATGACCGTAGTGACCCCTTTTGGATAGTATAGCTGTTCCGCTTTTAGTCAGTCTTCACCGCCTATCGCAGCAAAGCTTGAGTCCACTTCAGGAGTGGATTGCCACGCAGCCACATGACGTGTCGAACGCTGGAGATGAGGTAGTGCCTGGGCTTTCAATAGTTTTCAATCACCAAGAGTGTTGACAGAAGTTGATTCGGCACCGAGCCCGGTGGCCAGATCGGCTTCTTTTCAAACATCAATGTTCGCACTTCGCACGGTGAAACGTACAGCTGAAACCATCCCTGAGGTAGAGGACGAGGTATACCCAGGTACTGTAGCAGTGATTTGATATGATTTCATCGTGCTTGTGGAAGGGGTCATTGTTTTAGTAGATTCGCCAATGATCTCATTTCTGCCCTGTGTTTCACTTATAGAGAGCATAGATTCATAGACTCATTGATGTTCTTCATGTTTCTTGGGAACAGCAGCAAACCTTCAGGTCCACATTGCTGAACCAACCGCCGCACCTTGCTGAAACAACTACCAATGGCACCCAAGAACATATTAAACACTACTACTGTACTGCACATGTCAAAACATGAACAACAACCTGGTTGTTAAAGGCCTGGTATATTGCAGAGAAAGCTTGTGTCGGCAAAAAGGCTCATGTCCCACAATAAAAAGGATATGATATTACGATATACATTTCTTGGTGCTCCAAGGTCGACGGCCCTTTCTGGGAAGTTTATCGATTGCAGACGAGCAAAGAAGAGTTCTTTCAGGCCGGGGTGGGGTGAGGGAGAAGGGAAAGCTGGGTGGGGATTGATCATTTTCTGACCCAACATTTGTTTTGGTGTGCTTTCGTTTCAGGGGGTGGCTTCGGGTTTGCTTCCTATTTCATGACATCCACATCGGGGTCTTCCTTGCAGCTAGTTGACCAGCTCTCTCAGTTGCATCTCTTAAGGCAGACGGAGCTCACTCTTCCCAAGTGGTTTAGACTAGCTTGGCCAAGTCATGCCACGTCTGTGGAATGTGCGTCAGGAGTTTTGGAGGGTATATTCGATGTACATGATGAAACATAGGGGACAATAATAGTCCCGGCTTAAGAGTGTTGTGAGGACAATATCTGTCCCAGGAGCTTTGAATGGTCGACGCCTTGGCAATGGCATGATATACAGGCATGGATACATGTTTTGTTCACCACCTAGATTGGACTTTGTAATGTTTGTCCGATACTCCTTTATTGCCATTGGAACCGCCAGGACTGCTTTCCAGTTGCTCACTATCACGCATTGTCTCTGAGAATGAGCCTCAGCAGCTCAAAGTTGATGAATCATTCTGAGGTGTTTGGTTTTCCAAAATCACAATGCGAGCTTTCCCTTGCCTCATCAGGTCAACAGTTGCACTATTCTGTTCCATGTATATACCACTGTTTGTTCTACATGCGGAGAAACGCGCACGTGTCGCCTGGGGCCTTTGCGCGCCAGTCCCAAGAGTGCTGCACCGGCTTCTTCTGCATGAGCCGCGTTTGGAATGAAGGCTTGGGTGCCCAGTGCAGCTTCCCTCGACGGCCAGGCGGGCTGCCTTCGCCATCCCCAACGTGCATGCGGTGCTTCGTCACCACAGCCATCTTCAGCGTTCAACGGCTAGGTACACTCATGTCAGTTGACATCAGGCGATCATGTCATGAGACCACCGTTCGTCCACGAGAAAGTTTAAAGAGAACCAAAGAGAAACCACTTATGATATGCAGAATTGTCATATAGTTTAGTCAAGAGGTGTAGCACTACGTAGTTTATCAGCTTCCTGGTAAGTCGGTAAGGCAAAGATGGTAAAACTTAACGATCTTCAAGCTGCAGAACCCGCGCGTGCTCTGAGCGCACATGTGGCTACATGGGTGTGTTTTTAGTTAGGCAGATCGACCACCATGGGTTTGGTCTACTTTCCCTTCTTCCAGGGAGTCAACATGGAAGGTCTCCCTATTTGGGCTGCACACCCATTTATGTCATCTTCAAATCGGTGACAGGAATCGACCTCTGCCAAATGCACAACCAGCAGCTGATCCTCGCTGCAATTAATGCGCCACCCTCCAAAGACTAGGCCCTGTTGGGGTCTGTCATTAATGGTGCTTGTCAGACAGTTTGGCCCGATTATTGGACTCCAGAGATAACAGACCTATGCGATATTATGCGACCCTTGGTCAGTGACAAGTCTTCTTGGAAGACCACTAGTCGGGCACCAATCGCCTTGCTGGGTTCATACATGTTCAGACGACGTTTCCTTCGCTTCCCTCCCAAGCAAACAGTTCGCCATCTTTGGGGTTCGCTTCCCTCCCAAGCAAACAGTTCGCCATCTTTGGGGTGGAAGAGGATGTTGTTGCTCTTGTATAGCAGAAGGGCAGTCGGGGCAAAGCATGTCAGTTTTGGGAAGTGTATCAGAGGACCAGAATGTCTTTTAATTTAAGAGTAGTTCCCTCCCTCCCCTCCCCTCCCTCCCTCCCTCCCTCCCTCTCTCTCTCTCTCTCTTGATTGACCCCCTTGTTTGTCATTCAGGGTCTACGTCTACGTTAGCAATGTGGATCTTGGGGAGATGGTTTTGTTTATGCAATTAGTGAGATATGATATGATATTTTATTATTATACGCACCAAAATGCTGGTGCATTGCTTGTATAGTGGTCCCCAGCATGGATGAAGGAGATCATTTGCGTACAGAGGAAGGAGCTGGTGTGGAAGAAGGCCAGGAAAGGCCAGGAACTCTCACTTTCCATTTTGCACACCCTCCTACTCACTAGTATGGATTTGGAAAGCGTCCCATTTGCAAAGGAAGCCAGGGAGTTTCTCACTCCATGGGTGCCCGGCGTCTTTGGTGATCTATCCACGCAGAAAATATGCTCAGTCGACTCGACTCACCGTCCCTTCATTTGGCCACAATCACTGACTCTTCGCAGTCACTGTCAACATAGACAATACAGATGGGTATGGATCCTGCTGCACCAGAATTCCTTCAATATGGTTCAATATCGTTGTGTCTCAAATAGGGGCAACATGGGGCAACCTCACATTTGAAACCACCTTGTATCATTGATGATACACATGCTCTTCTATGCGTGACCAGGCTCATGGCCAGGCTCATTTGATAGAGACATCGCAGTATGACAACACCCACGACAAATCTCAACCATCTCCCCGGCGGTCTCACCATTGTCTCTCCCTTGAAAGTAATTGCACACGCCTAGCCCAACAGCGTCGATGGTACTGAGAGCTCGCGCGTTCAAGCCTCGCAGTGGATCGACAAACTGGATCCTCATACTGGCTCAGGTATTCTTCACCCAGCAAAAACATAGATTACAGTATATATGTATAGAGAGAGAGATAGAGATACATTAATAGTATCACCTACCTTGGTTCCAACAACTTCTTGCGCACATTGCTTTGCCTTTTCACTATTTTTGTACGTTCTGCTTTCATTCCTCGGGCACCTAAATGGGGTGTGGCCTTGGGATCGCAAGTTGGCAGCGGTGTGTCAAGCTCTATCGATACGCTCTGTTTCGTTTAATGATACGATATCAGATGTCCTGTTTAATGTTGATGATCGCAGTGCATCTATATACATACACTGATAACTTTTAGATACTGTATATATATGTATATAACATAGAGAGAGAGAGAGACAAAGCGTTCATTGATCGTGGTTTGAACCATCCCCTCGTCTCCGCGCGGGCGCAGCACACCAACTCGACCCTCCGCGCGATCACCCTTTCACCCAGGAAGAGCCAGGGCTATTTGACTCACGGCCGAGTGGATGGTCCCATCCCACCGAAGAAGCAGAATGAGTTTGACGCGGTGGCCGCGCGGATTCCTGTGCGAACGCCGAAAGAGAAAAAGGAGTGCGCACGGAAGGTCAACACCCTGTGTTTGCACGGGAAAGCCTGCAGCTGTCTTCAGACTAGATAGCACAGTTGCCCAGAAAGAAACTGAGAGTTTAGTGGTGTTCCATGGTGTTCCACCAGTGTTGATCACCCACAGTCTTGTATTTTGTCAAAAGAACATCCTATTCGCCTCGAGGACCGCAAGGGTAGAACATATATAACATTACATGAACAACCCAGCCACCGAAAGTCAGTAACACTGTCTCCCAGATCCTATTCTTTACATCTCAGATTGACAAGAAGACATCCCATGTTGAAAAACCTGACCCTAATGATACGAAAAACACCAAGTGATACCAAAAACAACATCTCAAACCGCCAAACGGACGCCACGTCCGCCACGTCCGCCAGGTCACGGCCACTGGCGCCACCGGCGAGCCGGTCCCCACGGAGCTGGGCGTGAAATTCCAACCCTCGGTGCCCAGCGCGAGCGCGGCCGTGAACCCGGTGGAACACGGCGAAGCGGTTGGTTTTGGGGGTGATGAGGACATCGCACTTGGGTTCTGTCTGAACACGAAATGCGGGCAATCGATGACATGGTGTGAAGGGTCCACCTTTAGCACATCTATTGTGTAATTAAAGAGCGTGGTCCACTATGACTTCTTGGTCTTGGAAGTCTTTCTTCGTTTATTGCAACGACCGAAGCTCAACGACCGAAGCTCCGGACGGTCGTATTTGCTGCGAAAGCAGACATCCGACATGATCAAACTCGATGAGACAGACTGATAGGATAGAGGGATAGACCAATGTCGGAGATAGCTCAGGAGATAGCCGATGGCCTATGAGCACTACGTAGTAATTGGAATAAAGTAAGTTTTAAGATGTCGAACCTCAGGAACACTTAACTTAGAGGTGAGAAACATGTGAGCTATGTGTTTTTGAAGGAAGCTGTACTCGTCATCTATCAAACCATTGTGATATCTCTAAGTGTGTGCTTATTTATACCTATTTAGAGCGCTGCGCAGGGGTCACCTTTCGACCAACACTACTAGTCTCCACAATTTGGTTTGCTGTGTATGGCATGAGAACAGAGAGTGCGTGGAGATGCGAAAAGATCCGGAGGTAAACCACAGCAACAATGTCATTGCCATCAAGAGCTGGATTAAGTAATTAAGTGAGACAAAAGCTATGGTAAACCTCCAAAGGTAGTGAATCTTCGGACTCTTCTATGTGTTGAGGCATCTCTTTGATTGGCGCTAGTCCAGATAGCTTTTAGTCCCTGTAAATGGGATTGGTTGGACGACATCTCCCATGCTTTGGTCCCGAAGTTGCACTGCCCGCCAGATGCTGGGAGAATGCCGGGCGCTGCTCGTGATCAGCGGGCCTGGGGGTGGTGAGCGGGGCAGCCCAGGAGGTGTTTTTTCGTCGTGGTCACTTAACCGGGCCTCACTTGGAGGCCAAGTGTGCCGAAAGATCCTTTTGACCCTGCCTTCTCCATATGTTGGATGGACAATTGCGATGCTGTGCTTTTCGCAGATGATAACATAACAGGAATAACATTGACTTGCAGGCCTGGAGTTGTGGTCTCATAATAGATGGCAACTAAGAGGTGGTGAGAGAAATATGACATGATATGACATGATGGTTGGCTGGAGAACAACAAACCCAGTCACCAAATGTAAACTCTCGATAAATAAAACCTCCCGCATGGACCATGTAAAAGCATTCTGGAGACGGGTTCTGATTCATCAACAGTTTGCATTAGTTGACTCAACTATACTTTTCTATGTTTTGCAATTTTTCTCAATGCTTCCCTATGAAAGGCTATGTTATCAAGTTTCTTAATTATATATATACACATATATTGGTGGTACATAGCTGAATAGGAGCCCTCTGATTGGGCTCTCTACTTGAATGATTGAGGGACCTCCCCCAGGCGATCTTTGGCGCACCCCCAGGTACAAAGCATTGCTCACTGGCTTCGCGCAACCACCGCAACCACAGGCGGGTTCGAGATGAGACACCCGTGATGAGTAGTGACTTAGAAGCCGTGACCTCTATTTTGGACCACCAACCCACCCAAAATAGTTGATTTGTTTATAATATATATATATACATATCATGTTGTTTGTTCATCCGCCGTGAACGTTTCCTCAAGATGCCGAGTGCATCCGAGTGGTCCCAGATTTCCATGTCTGTGCCTTCGGATCCCATTGACTTCCCTTCCCGTCGGCCGCCCCGAACCGGACGTCCGACTGACTCGCGGCCCGTGCCTCGCCAGGGTCCGATTACCATGATGAACGGCAAGCAGGGTACGGTGGAGTTCCGAAACCCGTTCGACAAGCCCACGGACTTCTCTTTGCAGGTGCCCGAACGCCCGTTCGAGAACCGGAGTGGGAGAGAGTGCCCCGAGGTGGGAGATCGGAGTTCAGGAGATCGGAGAGTGGCACGTACCGGGTTTTCGGGGGACGAATGTCCACTGGTTTTCACAGCGGACGGACAGGTGGTGCTTCTGTGGTTGGTGATCACATGAGCCAGGCCCAGCCCAACCCTCAAGCCACAGTAATGATGTTCGGAAGTTTGTTGGTTGACAGAGATGTTCTGAAGATCGCACAGGACGCCCCATGTGCATGTAGACCATGGGTTTCAAGAGACTCGGGATCAAGGCGTGAGTGATGGCTTGATTTCTTTTTCTGAAGGCAACGGGTTTGTGGAGACACTGCAAAGTTCACTTGGCCATCCAGGTCAGCGTACCTCACAAGCCATCCACCGCGAGAAGCTATGGTGTACATGTTGCATCATGTTGCCTACGTGACCCATGGAAGCTATCCATGGTCCAGGGTTGGTTTGGTTTTTGGTGTGCCCACGTCGAGAGGAGTTTCACCCGTCCCAAGGACGGGGGGGTCCCGTTCGGTGCACCATCCTTGCTACGTTCGTAGCGTCCTTGCTACTAGTAGTAATGCCAGGAGCTACTATATAGTAGCTTCTGGCTCCGTTCGTAGCCATGCCCTTTGTTACTGTTTCAGATTGAAACCGAAGGCTCATCCGGTCATCCCCCCTTTCCTCGCACCGACTGTCGGTGACGAAGGAGAGTCTATCGGTCTGGACTGGACAGTCGAAGGTGGTCCGTGGCAGTTGGACTGGGGGACATCTGTCCAAACATGTGCATCTGGCAGGTGGACAACCCCTGCTTCATGGTGCCAACGAGAACACAAAGGACTGCATCCAGCTGGGTGAGATCATGAACCGGTAGTTACGAGCTGATTGTTCTGAAGGTTCACTGTTCTTGTTCTTCAGGTGGAGGGTTAGACACGCGGTCAGGCTGGAAATGAGAAATCCTGGCCTTTCATCCATTGCTCTAATGATTCTAATGTCCCCGGTGTGCAGACAAACCTTCACCGTGAGTCTTTGTTTAAATACGAAATATTACGAGACCTTTGAGAGGACCACGGATGGTTGGTTGTTGCAATCAACCATAAATACAATCATAAGATCAATTTAAGATAAATCTCAGGGGCCGGGTCGGGCACTTGCTTTCCGCCCACAGACTCTGGTAGAGTGGCGTTGACGTTTTGCAGGGCTTGAGTTTCCTGTTTGGTTTTCTTGTGTATTTTGTTGCTATCGCTCATCATCGAGCTTGGACCCGTCTCTACCCCTCCAAGCTAATTTTCGCAATAGATTGGTTAAGGGTGTGGCGACGCCGGGATGTTTAGAAGGCTGTTGGAATGGACTTGGACTTGACTTTTTGGAGGCTTCATAGACCAGCGGAACATTATTAAGTGCCAGTCGATTGGTACAAGAGATTTGTATCTCAAGCTCACTGCTGGAGGTGATGAGCCTTCCTAAGCCTTCTCCGGTTCCGGTCAGATCTGTCTTGTTTTTTCGTATGGGAATTGGAGGTGGTTGGGTTGTATTAGACAAGAGTGGTGACAAGTTCACATAAGTTCACAATTAATTTCACAATTATACATAATTTAATATATACATATATATATATACACAGTAATTAGAAAAATGATCGAACTCTCTTGAGAGCGTTCACACGATGAAGACACAGCAAAGTATGTGCATGTTTGATGAAGATAAGCCTCCTCAGATCTTTTTCAATGAAACCACTTCAGCAGTTGATTGGCACAAGCAGTTGATGGCCGCAGCTCGGAGTTCGTTCGTTTGGCAGGATCGACCCGCAAAAATCAGTGCAGATCTCGGTGAACTTCAAGTCTGATAGGCCAGCCATGCCAGATCTCGGTTCAGACCGGCCCGCTGGGCCAGGGGGGCACATGTGTGAGACGCCTGACCAGACCAAACCACAACTGACTGAGGATATCTTAGGATGAACATACTGATAGGGGAAGATTGGGGGGTCACAAAACACGATTCAATCATGCCCTGCAAGTTCTCTATACCACAGACATGAGCTGTGTGGTTCCAAAAAGTAGAATTGATCCCTAGACTCAGAAGAGACAATTCAATAGCGGTTATACGCTTATACTTATAATATAATAGGAGGTCCATCCACTGCTACAGGACTTCAACCATTTGTTGTCCAAGTCAAACTTGGCAACATGGAACTGTTCATGTCACTTCAATAGTGAGTCAATGTGATCCATACCCGATTTGTTGTCAATTGAACTCACACCCTTCCAATCTCTTCCATCAATGTGGTCCAGCAAGCACTCTGCTACAACGATCATATGCCGTTTCTTTGCCGAGATGGGGTCGTCAGGCCACAGGGAGGACGTCTCATCATTTCCTGCGACAAGGCCAAGGGGCACTGGGAAGAACTGGACGGGTCGCAGCCGCCAAACGACGGGTCGCTTCGAGTCCGAAACGCGACGTTTTTGGCGTCCCAAAACCCACGAAGGTCATGGTGCCATGCATGGCCGCAGGGCCCTGGTGATTCCTCCTTGGGGAGCAGACGCGTTTGGATACACTTGGAACTTTGATTGTTTATGCTTGTAGAGTGAGATCCCCGACTTGCACTTGACGATGGGCA